CAATCCCCTCCGGTTAATCTCAGCCGTTGAGTGAGCCAAAAAATATCTTCTCACATAGGTGTTTTTGAAGATGAGTTTCGTGTAGAAACAATTAAAGTTACTAGTAATCAACTTTTTACCCAAATATACATTCTCATTTAGGTTATAATCTAATTAAAACTATTCAACCAGCCATATGAAAGAATCTATTTGGTCAATAAACTTACAAGTCCAGAAAATAACTATTTAAGAGTAGAGGGGGCCAAAGTGTCTATAATAATAGTTCAGGGGTTGGTTGTTTTTATGTGATCAAATACTTGCGAAAAAGGAGAAGGGGAAAAAGGAAACAAAGAAACGTGAAAAGACGAGTGTAGTCATTTGCCAGTTTACCCGCCAAAAACAAAGAAGTGGGTCCCACGAAGGAGTAGCCTTCCTTGGCTTCTATTCAAGGTTTTGCTTCCATCTGCGGGCATCGTGTGAAGTGACCAGCCCGACCTTCCTTCATTGACAAAGGCAGCCATTAGTCGTACCTCAATATTAGGTTCAACCAGCCTTTTATGAATTTGGTAATATGCTTATTTGTACTTTTGGTACACCTTAATTTCTCTTTTAATATATATATATATATATATATATATATAGAGAGAGAGAGAGAGAGAGAGGTGTGTTATTATACAATTCTTTACATTTGTACAACCAATACAACTCAATCTTAATCGTTTATTTAATTTGATGAATATGTGATTTCTTAGAAGTTTTGATTGTTTCATAATATAAAATATTGATTATAATTAATGAATCTTATTCATCTTCCATAAATATTCAAATCATAATAAATGAACTCTCATCATTTCCATAAATATCTTAATTAATTGGGTTGCATTGATTGTACAAATGGACATGATTGCATTTGAAATATACCCTATATATTTTATTCTTGCGTTTCTTACCTTAACTTTTATTCTCACACGATTCTTCGTCTATATATAGATAGACGAAAGATCGTGTGAGATGGAAAGTTATGATAAGAAGTGTAAAAAGAGATCTGAACCATTTATCACTTTTATTCTCATACAATTATTCGTATATATATATATATATATATATATGTGTGTGTGTGTGTGTGTGTGTGAAAGATAAGAAAAAATTTGAATTTGTGATCACTTATAATCTCATGCCACCCATGAATTGCATTTTAGAAAATAATTGATCTGTTGTATCTCGTTAATGTTAACATTCAATTATGTTTGATTTAATAGTGAAGATCTTCTTTCACGCTTCTCATCATAATTTTTTTCTCACCGGAACTCAATTATGTTTATATAGGCACACAAAATCAATGTCAATAATTTAAAATAATGATTATTTATTTTTTATGCTTAAGATGTTACCGAAAAATAATTGCAATTTTTGTGTTCATGAAGGTTTACCTGCAATGACTTCACGTCATTCTTAATTGTCCAATGGATTAGTCGATACGTGTAATATGACTCAGAAACCCACGGTTACGTATATATATAAAGAATTGCATTAATAGTTTTCAATCCAATGGATACACACCAACATTTGTTGAATAAGTGGTTATTAGTTTGAACTTTATTGCTAGCAAAATATGTATATTTTAATTATATTGCAAAAAAAATTAAATCAATATAAATCAAATGAACTCGTATGCGGTATTTTTTTTTTATATTTAAATATGAGACTTGGGGATGATAAGATGTATGTAGACGTGACCTCTATTCAAAAGGGTAGAGTGGAAGTTTTTGCGAATACTTCTAACTCGTGAAATTGTGTGAAAAAGAAAGTCGGATATAATCAAGTTTTAAAAATATAGTTAAAAATAAGCAAAAACATAAAATAAAAACAAGTAGAAAAACCATAACCAATTTATGGGAACTACACTTAGTTTAATTCACTAACTATATCTCCCACCCTCTACCTCTCCAACTTCATACCTCCTGTTTGTTACAGATAAATATTGACTCATTAGTCGACTGTCCTAATGATGCGTCTCCAAGAGCTTCTATAAGATCTCATATTCTCGAAAGTGCCTAAAACCTTCATGTCCAACCTTAGTTACTCATTCATGTCCTACTTGACCTACCCCTCATCATTAGGCTTGTTAACCGATTGACAACCATTGGATGTGAAGAGAACCAAATTGATCTAATCATCCATTGGATGTTGAATTTTGCCAACCGATCTGATCTGATTAACATTACATAACCAATAAAATCAAATCCAATGGATGATTTGATCGGTTCGGTTCGGTTCCGTCCATTAGATAGATGATCCGATGAGATTAGATCCATCCAGTGTGTTAATTCAATCCAGTTATCTAACAATGATATAAATTAATTAATTACTTTTAATATGTGTTAAAACCAACACATGGAAAATTAAAAATTCAAAGCCTCACATAAAACAAATTCCGATTTAAGCAGTTCGAAAATAAATTAATTGGATGATAGATGGATAATGGTTGGATGGACAACTAGATGGTCATTCGATGATTAATTGGATGGGAAATTGAATGTTGTTCGGTTCGGTTTTGGTCGGTTCTAGACTGCCATCCGATAACCGATCGATCCAAATCGGATGTTGAATTTTTCAATCGATCCGATTGGATCAATCAGTTCCAATTGGATCGGTTGATTTTCTGCACACCTCTACTCATCATTGCCTCGCAAACCGTCACACTTTATACACTCCTCGTTGTAGCCGCCGTCTATTTCATATGAACGTGATCAAACCATCACAAAGATGTTCCTCCTGCAATTTATCTGTTATAGACACAACTTCCAACATTGTTCTACGAGAAATCCATCTAAACATACTTATTTTTCAACCTATATCTTCCTCTCAAAGGCCTTCCTTATCGGCCAACACTCTGGTACATGCAACATGGACAGTCTAATGACTACCTCTAAAATTTGTTTTCCTATTTTAGCAGAACCTCATTGCCCCACACAACACCGCTGATAATTCTCCATTTTAGCCACCATGTCTCTATACGATGTTTTATGTCTTTATCGATCTTGTCCTCCTTTTGAATAATGAACCCTAGATACCTGAAACTATATGTTTGGACTACAACTTGCACCTAAACGTTGATTGTCGCCCTCTCGTCGATACACTGTTTGCTGAAATTGAACCATATATATCCGGCCTACTAATGGATCATGTGATAGAAGGAAGAATGCATCTTAAAACAATAAAAAGGCACTCGAACAGACAAAATTGATTAATATTGACCGATTTTTGATAATCGGGTTATAACAAAACTATTATGATTGTTTGAATCACTCGTTTTAATATGGTATTACTTTTTCGTACAAGTGTTAATATTAGGCTTCTAATGTAATATCTTTTAGGTGCACATAACCTAACGCAACCTCTCAAAAAAGCTAATGGCCATGGAAGCCCTCTAAACGAAAATGTCGGTTTCCAATTTCTAACTGTTAATAAAACCTTACGCAAATGAATTGGTTCGGTCTAAAAAGTCCAATAAATCAATAATTTGGTTTGATTAAAAAAAATTAACTTGGTTAGTAAATGCGAGGTCGTTTATTAAACGCTTACCCTATAAGTGTATACTTGGTAACTTTCCTTACCAGATGAAAATGACAATCGTCAAAAATCTTATCTAGTAAGAGCAATGGTAAAAAGATGAAGAGTCTTACTCGGTAAGTGAGGGTGACGACTCTTACCTGAGTAAGTGCTTACTGGATAAATTGTTGCATACAATATCATTTTGATATACTACAATCTTATCCAATAAAATAAATTATAATGTTGACTCCTAATGGTCAGCACTTACCGGGTAAACATATATGTAAACGACCCCTAAATACAAGACTGGTCCCATATTCGATCACGGACTCATTCCGCTAGCTTCAGCCATTGGGTGAGTCAAAATATGTACTCTCGCATTGGTCTTTGGAAACATGAAGCTGATTCCATATGGAACCGATTAGAGTTGTCAGTAATCAACTTTTATCCAAATAATAATTTAATTAAAACCAAATCAGATCAAAATAATTTATATTTTAAAATTCATTTATTTAGTAAATCAAAAAATCAAAATGGTTGAATGATTTTATAGCAATTGAGAATCTCCAAAATTAGAATATAAAAGGGTCCTAATCGGTTATGCCTCCAAGAAATTAAATAAAATCAAAAGGCAATTAAAACATATCACGTCCAATTAAAAAGTCAAAGAGATAGATGAATCGAGGAGCGTGATTCCAGAAATTTGCTGGGTCGCGTGTTCTGTGGATCCCACTATCTACGTATTTTACGCCTTTTCTTTATTCATTTATTTTTTAAATTAAATCATTTAAATAAAAAATTATAGTAAATTACATTTTTGTCCATACGCTTTGTTAAAAATCTCAATTTTCGTCCTTGTAGTTTCTGTTTGTTGGTATCTTTGTCCTTATGATCTACAATTTATTGTTATTTCGGTTTTTATGGTTTATAATTTTTTACTATTTTGATCTCCTGTACTTAAATGTAGGAATTAGTTCACGTAGAAAATAGTAAAAGTTGGAGTAAATTACATTTTTTGTCCTTGTGGTTTGTTAAAAATGCGGATTTCATCCCTGTGGTTTTGAACTTTTGATTTTTGTCCCTACAGTTTTCAATTTCATTTCTATTTTCTTCATCGAGTCCAAAACATTATTTTTAAGTATGAAAGACTAAAATGGAAATGTCTTGTAAACTATAGGAACAAAAAATAGTAATAAAGGACAAAAAAAGTAATAAATGGTAAACTATAGAGATGAAAAAAGCGGTTTCAAAACCATAAGGACTAAAATATAAAATTTTAACAAACTACAGGGACTAAAAATGTAATTTTCTCTAAAAAATGTAAACATAGGGACGAAATCTAAAATTATTATCAAACCATAGGGACTAAAATTGTAATTTACTCAAAAAATTAAATAAAGGTTTTTATTTCCCAACCTCCATCCATCATCTTCTCCCTGTTTGCGTAACCACCACCGCACCGTTCAATTATTTCTCCCCCATCACCTTTCCCTATGCCATACCACTTCTTCAATCAGTTACTTCCCCTCTACCCCCTCTCTCTCTGTATCCATAACTTTCTCTCACTAAAAGTCTCCATTCTTATAGATTATTCGCTTTCCATCGGATCACTAATCGTTTCGAGGTATGAAATCTTCATCGCTGAAATCATCTTTGATTTATTGTTGTCTCTGTCGTTGTTGTTATGGTTCGATTATTGGAGTGGTTCAAGTAACGATTTGCCGGATTTGTTGTTTTTTTTGCTTGTGATTTTGCAGGATCTAGCGAGGTTTTGGACATCTGAGGTGATTATTGAGTGTTATTTTGTCGATTGATTAGTTTATCTTTCAAGGATTTTGATTTTCTGATGCTTGATATGTATTTTTAACGTCTTCTTGGAGGGTTGCATTTTTTTTGTGATTTGGAGTAGTCATATTTTATAGGATGCTGTGTGCTTTACGTGTTCTCTGAATTGTTGTGTGGATTTTGAATTATGGTCAAACATAGAGAAAAGGTTTCCGATTATCGTTTCGGTAGTATCCGATCATGCCTTTATCGTAGCCTGTGTTCATTTTTGCAACATTGCACGCACTGTGGTGATTGGTAAGTTGTTATGATCGGAAGGAGAGTTTGATTACTTGTGTTCGATGAGTTGGCCGGATCTAGTCACATATTAATATAGTTTAGTTTTTCCTGCGTTGGTAGTTACTTGAAGGAAGCGCCTAAACTTGATATTTTATAATCATAAATCATCGTGATCTAGTTTTCCTGAGGATTTGATAGGATGAACAGGTTTTGACTTTTAGGTTCAGAATCGTGTACATTTATGCCATTGTTATCTGTATGTATTTGCTTCCTTTTGATAAGTAGTATTTATTCGGTTAGCACATTAGTTGGTTAGTCACTTCTTCAGTTTCAGCACAATGACACTAGCCTGCTTGCATGCCATATAAGAAGGGGTTTTTGTTCCCAGGGCATTAACAGGAACGGACTTAATATGCATAGTTAGTTGGTATGCTGCCCATTGAAGTTGTAAATAAATATCTTAATGTAATAAACATGTAATCTGTTTGTTGTTTGTTTTTCCTTTACTTCTTAGCCTTGTGAGTATGAAATGCATCTTACAATAAGAAACATTTGGTTCATGGATTCAATCATTTCCTTTTTGGAATTCTGAAAACCAATGTCATTGCCATAAGCATGAACATGCATATGTAGTATGGATATATGGCTTCTTTAGAGATATACAAACGCTTCTAGACCTTTCAACATTGCCTCAGATCTACTGTTCTGTTGTGTAGCAACTTTCACTTTGTATATTATTATGTTTTATTTTTTTAAACATAGCATATATTCATAGACAATGGTTTCATCTCTGTTTCCAATTTTGCATATATTTCTTCCATTCCTGGTTTGGCATCTTTTTAAATCCTCACATATCTGCATGGGATCTTATGTTGCTTCCACTGGGTGCATAAACTGTCCCCCACAGTAAAGGCGTTGGCTTTAGCATTGGCAGCTAGTGGCATTTCAAAATCTCACCGATTCCCTGTATTTTTCTATTGTAGGCTGATTGTCCCTGCACTATTTAGCGAAAGATGTTCGGAGGAAGTAACACCAATTCATTAGTCCCTGTCTTCCTTGATGAGAACCTCTTCCAATATCCTTCAAACCAACTGCAGCTATTTGGAAATGGTGAGTTTCTATCATGTTGTACTAAAACTCTAGAATTTTTAGTGGATGGTTTTTTTATTTGCTCATATGGGTCCAAATTTATGTCCTTTACTTCATGTGAGAAGTTACCCACTTATATCATTGTTATTTTAGTGGATTGATGTGAATTTGCTGTGCTGGATTGTATTACAATCTTGCAGTTTTGTTAAATTTCTGAACTTGCTAGGATATTTCCTTGTTCAATAAATCATGGCTAATTTGTTAGTCTCTAGCATGTAAGGTTTCATGTCTAACCTTTTATGAGTAATGCAACTGATGATTTTTATAATGAATGTTTGGTTCTTCCTCATTCAGTATCATGAATCTGTAACATCAAGTGTACTCTATGTTGCACATCTGTGATTTTGTACATGAAATTAGATTTAGAAGATGTGATCATTGTAATATACGGTTATGCATATGAATATCACATCCAAATCATAGTTGACCACTTCTGAGTTCTGAGTATCTAGTACCACCACCTGTTTGTTAACAGTTGGAGTATATGAATCTCTTATTCCAACTTGAATGCTCAATATATTGTTTGAACCTTTTACGTGCCTGTTTGTTATCATGAGTAAGTGAATCTCTTGTTACAACTTTTAACATGTCGGGTGTAAGATCTTTGATGAGATATAAACTGGAGCGAGTTTGGTTGAGGTATAGTCCTATAGATACATAATTGAGGAAATGTTCATCACGAGGAGCTTTCTTTTTATTTATTTGAAGAGCAACTTTCAATTATTTTCCTGGTCACATCATGAGCAAATATCATTGTCAGAATTAGGCAACTATGAATTCTTGGTTTGACAGCTGCACTGTGTAATGATTCCTCTTTTGCTGAATGAACTATTCTACAGGGCCTTCACCATTACTTTTAGTCACTTCAAGTTATAATGTTGTTTGTTTTCTCATTCAAATGGAATTGCTCCTGGGTTATTATTACTTGGCTGTTAAATGATGAGATTTTTGTCACATGATGGTTGCCTATGATTCTTCTATAGGCAAAATTGTTTGTCCTATAAAGTTCAGTCTTCTTTATGTTATAATCATGTTAATGATCACTATTTATTGTCTTTATCTGATCTTTGATTTTTCCATGTTGATGTTGCTATGGCAGTACCAGCCACCCGTAATGTTGATCCAGTAAATTATTCTGTTAGAGAGCATAATAGCCCTGTCTTTCGCTCCAATAAGCGACCAAGAGAAGCCGAAGCTAATTTAATGCAAAAGAAGCTTCAGATATCATTGAACCAGAACTTCTATAATGAAGAAACTGATCGCCCATCAACCATTCCAACCCCTCATCCTGTATCTACTGGCTTAAAATTGTCATATGATGATGAGGAACGCAACTCTTCAATTACTTCAGCCAGTGGAAGCATGACAGCAGCACCATCGATAATGTCTTCTTTTGGTGATGGTGTCACAAATGAACTTGACCGACATAATGAAGAGCTTGAAAGATTCATTATGATTCAGGTAGTAATCTGATTTCTGCCCTTAAAATGATATATTACTATGCAAACTTGATTTTTCATCATATCCATCTTGCAGCATCTGCAAGTCCATGATCAACATAATTCTGGTCAACTCAAATTTCCTTTGAAATTTGTGTCACAATCTCATTGCATGTTACCACTTGCTGGTTCTCCCATGTTGAATACACAAACACAAAATATTACTCCCTCTGTCCCAAAATAATTGTCCACGATAAAAAAAGACACGGTTTAATTAATTAGATGACAATTTTACCTTTAACAGTAGAAGGAGTAATTAATTGCTCTATCTCATAGATAAGGGAACGTGGACACTTAATTTTTGAAAGTGGCCGCTTATTTTGGACAAACTAAAATAATTATGTGGACCCTTATTCTGAGATAGAGGGAGTATATAGCTTTAACTATTCTATGATGGGACTTTGGTGCTCTGATGGTTGCATATAGACAGCTGTGGTGGTAATCACAATCTATACCATGTCACTTATTTTCACAATGTTTTTGTTCTAGATAGTGTGGTAAAAAGTCCATAAGCGCACCCCTCTAGGGTATAAAACGTTATTAGCTTTCATACCCCAATGTCTTGCCAACTTTTGAACAGCTATCAACTCTTTCTTTGAACTTCTTTAACCTAATCCCTGATCTGTGAAAGGATGGATCTTAATTTCCTGAATTTTCTAACCCCAAAATTTCTTAATTGATTCTGCATAGAACCTAGTACTTGTTGATGATAAGTTCTAGTTGTCAGATGTTTGTTTCAAGTCCTTGTTAAAAATGAAAATCTGAAATTTATGACTGAACAAAACAGTAAAATTATCAGTAATAATCCACATCTGTATATGTTAAAGATACGCCAAGTTTTCTTTAGGTGAAAATGAGTTTTCTTTAGGTGAAAATGCGCAAGACACTTGCATAAACTCCGACTAAAATGGAAATTTAATTGAAAAGTGGCTAAAATGGAAATTTAATTTCCATTAAATTTCCATTTTAGCCGGGGTTTATGCAAGTGTCTTGCGCATTTGCATAAACTCATTTTCAGATTAAAAAGAAAGAATCTTTTTTGCGTAAAAGTATTCAGATTTGTGCTTAGGGATTCAACTTTTTGCGTAAAGATCTTTACACACATGTGCAAGGATTTTTTTTTCTTTTTCCAGAAATCAGTATGCAAATGCATAAAGCATCTGCATGAACAAGACCGGCTATTTTGGGAAGAGACTCTGAAAAGTGGCTAAAAAGTTAATTAGGTTGATGGAATCGACTATGTTAGTCAATTTCCCTGATTTTATTAGAAACATATTGTAATGTGTTGTAATAATTAGTTATGTCCATAGCTTACCTATACTACTGATTTAAACAGGGAGAAAATATGGTGAAAGGGGTGAAAGAGATAAGACAGAGACACATGGCCACATTCCTGGCTTCCATTGGTAAAGGGATAGAGAAGAAGATACGCGAGAAAGATCTCGAGATCGAAACCATAAACCTTAAAAACAAAGACCTCGTCGGGAGAATAAAGCAGGTGGCAAACGAAGCCCAGAATTGGCACTACAGAGCCAAATACAACGAATCGATGGTGAACATGTTGAGAACAAACCTTCAACAGGCACTGGCACAAGGAAATGAGCAGCAACAGCAAGTGAAAGAAGGATTTGGTGATACAGATGTCGAATACGATGCTGTATCGTCTATAGATCCAAATAATTACCTTAATGCCCCTGGTAAGTCTCTTAAGGATAATAATAGTAGTATGATGGTATGCAAAGCATGCAAGGCAAAAGAGGTGTCGGTTCTGGTAATGCCCTGTCGCCATTTGAGTCTATGTAAAGATTGTGATCGGGGTGTGAACGTTTGTCCGGTTTGCCAAATTGTGAAAACTGTTGGTGTCGAAGTGTATATGTCGTAAAATATCGACACCAAGGATTCCTTCTCAAAGGTTTTAACTTGTGAAATGAAGAAAGCACTCTATACATTTTGCATGATTTGTTTTAGTTTTATTTCTACCTTGCATCAAATGGGGTTTTGTGGAACTAGCAATCCTTTTTACATATTGGGTTGCTTAATTCGGTGTTCTAAGGGGGTGTTTGGGATTGCTTATTTAAAACAAGTTGTGTTTTTTTGTAAAAGATCTTATCAACTTATCTGGTGTCAAATCGGAGTTTTAATAAAAGTGTTTGGATTATCTTATGGCAGTAACAAAGCGTAATAAGCTGATGTTGTTTTTTAGTGCTTGACAAAATTTTCTTATAAATATAAAATGACCAAAACGACCTTGTGAAATTGAACTGAATAAGAACGTGTGAACCCATTTCTCCCTTTGTCCCATTTCTATGAAATTGAATCAAAGAGGGACCATCTACCATTTCTCCCTTGTCCCATTTCTATGAAATTGAATCAAAGAGGGACCATCTCCCATTTATGTGAAATCGAACCAAACAGGGACCATCCATGGAAGTTGAAAACCATGGAAACCAAGGAGGAAAATGTTGATGAATACCTGATTTTCAACAGTGAATACCCATTTGTCACCTGATTTCAATCGTCCCTGTGCCTCGATCAGAAAACAATGCAAGTCGACTTCTTAATAGTGAAGGTCTATTTCACACTTGATTTCCATTGTCCCTGTGCCTTGATCAGAAACCATGAGGGTTAATTTTCAATAGTGTAAAGGGATGTTTGGGATCAGAAACACCTTTGGTGAAGGTCGGTTTTCGATTTTGCAGTGAAGGTTGATGTGGATGTCGATTTTTGATTTTCGATTTTGCAGGTGAAGGTCGTTACAATCTGATGCATAATTTAGGTTTAAGGGTAAAAAAGTAAATTAGTTTCCAAAACTACTAAGTTGAATCTGATAAGTTAGAATGTTCTAACTTATCAAAAGCTCCTTATTAGCGGTATAAGCATTTTTTTTTTCTTCCCACTTAAACACTAAAAAATGCTTACCACCGATACCACACCGGAATAAGTCAATGAACACTTTAAATAAATCCCAAACACCACCTAAATCCAGGTTAAACACACATTTTAATGTTTGAAAAAGCTGGACCCCGATTTTTGCGGAGCGGGTGTATTTTTAAGGTGGATCAAAGACCCACAAAGTTGTGCAATATGTTTTAAGCTTGATTCCATAATTTCGAAATCTTTTAATCTTTTTAGTTGATTTTGAGGGGTTATTTAATTTTTTTGGTCGTGGAATATTTTTTAATTGATTTTGTGGATTTTTTTTGGTTGATTTTGTGAGACTTTTTCAAATTTTGGTTGATTTTGTGGGATCTTTTCAGTTTTTGGTTGATTGGAGTAAATGATAATTAGTGAAATATAAAAAAAATAGAGAAAAACTAGCTATACAAAAAATGTATTTTATTCTATTTAATTTAACATCCATATTATTATAATTTTTCATTTGTTTTTTTTCCTTGTTTTCACGTTTCCACTCTTCATGTTGTTTTCATTTAAACCGTTTCCAATATCTTCTAGAAGGATGAATGATATTTTACATCGTTGTAACATTGAATGCAAGATACACAATGGTTGTCAATCTTAATCTTAATCTTGAACGCAACCAACGCGTCCTCTCAAATACTTCGTCATCGAACCCTAAATCAACTCCAGTTCCTCGATTGAATGATTGTTAGTAGATGAGATACGAGACATTTGGCGTGTTTAATGTGACGATGAATATGAAATATTGGATGTTTTTTATGTGATTAGACGAATAAAAAAAATATTGGGTTTGTTTAATATGAATGGAGAAATATGAAATAACAGGTGTGTTTGACATGATTGGATGGGTACGAAATACGTGACCATGAGACAAACGTGAACCAACAAGTGAGCATGACAATAAGTTGAAACCAAATTTTGAGGATAGATTGGGTGATTGGTCTTGATGTAGACTCATCTCTAATTTGCTTTTAGAATATCTCTAACAAATTCTTTAAAATAGAGATTTTGAGGATTTTTGTTCAACAAATTTTTTAAAAACCTTTTCCCATAAAAAAAAAAAAGAGTAAAATAATATATTGTTAAATATTTTGCTCTTATAGAATGCAAACTCTAAAAGTTGATGACTCAAATAAAATATCCATACTACATATTTTTGTGAGAGTGTTTTATTTCTTAGAGTAAACTGTACTGGTGGTTCTTGTGGTTTGCTCAAATTTTGGATTTGGTCCTTAAAATAAATTATTTCTACAGTGATCCCTAACTTTTTTTCATAATACATATGGTCCCTCCACTTAACAACGTTCCTTAAGTTCTTGATCCAATGTCATGTGATTGGCTAACCGTGCCCTTTCCTTAGAAGGTAAGAGAGGGACAGATAGACCTGATTACAAAATCAAGGGGCAAAAACTGATGCGCTGACCAGACTGCGCTACACCTCGTCTCACCACCCCGGAGCATATAGATCAACCCGATTGATGAACACTCAAACCGAACTCGTTAGTAACCGAAGGACTAATCGATTTTTAAATAACCTATAGGGACCAAAATTATAATATGCTCTAAAATTTAATGAGATTTATTGTATTTTTTTTTAATTTTTAAATCAAATTTCTTGTAATAAAGTATATATTAAATAAAAATAATTGTATTTATTTAAAAACTATTAAATTAACAAAAAAATTTAAAAAATTAAAGGAAATCAAGCTAATTCACATATACTATTGGGTTTGGGATGAAATATACGAGTGGAATATTTAATATTAAGTTCAATTAACGTGAGATTGTTAAATATAATCAAACTACAAATAATTAAATAGTAATAATAAAATAAAAATTATCTATACTATATTATAAAATATTTAACTAAAACTCTTAAAAACTTTTAAACTCGTTCATCCTTAAACGATTTCATCCCTATCTGATTTCATCCCATATCTGAATTCGTGTAACTAACTGCAGATAAACACAATCAAATACAAGATAAACATCTCATTTTAAATATAAAAAATCTAAAATATAATTAGGATGATCATTGAGTTCTAACAGAAATTTAATTATTATCTTTATAAAATGTTATATTATTAAACCAAAAATAAATTATTTCATTATTAAACTTAAATTAAATTATAAAAAATAATTTATACTATATTATAAAGCATTTGACAAAAACTCTTAAAAAATACTATTTATGCGTAAAGTATTGTTTATTAATGTTACTTAAAACTCAAGATTACAAGTAGATTGTGCGTATGTACAACTTATTAAAATTTCATGTCTGAATTCGTGTAACTAATTGCAGATAAACATAATCAAATACAAGATAAATATCTTATTTTAAATATAAAAAATATAATTAGGATAATCATTGAATTCTAACATAATACTTAATTATTATCTTTATAAAATGTTATATTATTAAACCAAAAATAAATTATTTCATTATTAAACTTAAATTAAATTATAATAAAAAAATAAATTAAATAAATTACATAAAAAATGAAAACTTTTAAATAGTTGATTTGATATTAACATTGATATATATATTTTTAAATTTTTATGATATCTTTAAATTTTTATGATATCTTTAAATTTATATTTTATTTAAAAATAAAATTATTATTGTTTTTTTTTAAAATACATAATTTATAATACTATATTATAAAATATTTGACAAAAACTATTTTTGACAGAACTAATTTTTTATGCAACAACTATTGTTTATTGTTACAGAAACTATAAAGCCGCGCTCCGGGCCAATCCAGCAAATTATCACCAATACAATTCAGTGATCTGCAAACACCAAAAAGCTACAGAAAAATCTCAAAACTGCAACAACAGTTCGTTTGCGCGGGAATTACTTCGATCCGGTTAAATTTCCGCTAGGTATTTGCATCATTGTTATATACAAATTGGTTGTTTGAATTGAAAGTTGAAAGTAACCTCGAATTTCATTGATTGCTTCCAGTTTTCTTTTCGAATTAAGTTTGTTGCAGCGGTTCATGGACGATTCGTCTGCTAGAAATCTCTGTCGACATGCAAGTTTACTTGCTCTCCATTTTTATCTCATTTGTTTACGGTTCCGTTTTCAATTATGTTTCTGAACAATTTGTTTCAGTTGATTTCGTCGGCAATTCGACGATGCCGCATTTCAGGCGAACTTTGTCGATTAACCGTCGGTCTGAAATCGTCTCCACTCGCCAATCCTCCTGTAGTTCGTATCTCAAGTAATATGCTATCTCTGTGTATATTAGTTTGGATTTAGCTTAAGCAATCAAGCTCCAAAACATGCATATGCTAGACTGCACATAATATGATCGAACTTGCATTTGCTAGATCAATTATCATGTTCAATCGTCAGATGCACGAGTTTGTGTTTCTTTTCATCAGATTCTGTTTATGAGCTCAACTTTTTTTTTTTTTTGGAACGATAACTAGTTCAATTGATCATATTCAGAACTAGCTAAATGCATCTGTCATAATTTGCTTGAGTGATGATGTTTATTAGGAATATATGATCCTTCTTTTTTTCGTTTCTTCTGGAGATCAGTATATTGCATGTTTAAGGCTATGGTATTGGTGCTATAAAAATATATCTTAATCTATATCTATTCTGTAAACAAGTGAAATGATTCAAGCTTTCAACACAGTGCTAAACCTCAGTTTTGTTTTGGTTACGATTCAATTTTGAGATTACGTGCAAAGAAATGAAGTTTAGAATGCTGTTTCTATTAAACTGTGAAATCTAAGGTAGCCTAAGAAGTTTGTTTGGCTTCATGAATCATGATATTACTAGTTGCTGACACTGGACATGGAAGCTGCTTGGAAGAGTTTCAGGATGTGAAGAATCTAAGTGAGTCATCATTTAATGAGATACAGGGTAAGAACTTGAATTGGCAGTACATACAATTTGGTTAATTTAGAGCAAAACTTTATATGAAGCGGAAGGATAACTTGTTGACTACTTAATATCAATATAGATTTTATTTTGGTTATGATGCTCGTGGGTAAGAATGAGTTTGATTTAAATCATAAATGAAACAGATCTTACAATTTTAACGGAAAGTTTCTTTTATCTTTGGCTTTTGACATTTTTGGTGGTTTGGATATATCCTAGAGTTCTGCTACTATAAGCAATCCGGATACATCTAAGTCCGTAGATTTGTGATCCATCTAGGAGAAATATCTAGAACTTATGCAGATTCTGCAATATGTTTACATTTGCACTTCTCACGCCTGTCAGTGAAGAATTACCATGACATCTGATTTTTATGTGTGAAAGTAAGTGAGTGGTTCTATTCATTTAGATCTACAAGGCTTTTTGAACTCCCTATACATGCTACTGTTTAGAAAATCTAACTTGAAATTTGGAGACATCTCTTTCAATCTATTATAAAATAATCAACTGATGAGCAGGTTTGCAATGTATGCAGATGGAGCAATATCAATTTCAACTACCAGTAAGTATTATTCTTGTTGGAATACGTATGTTGACATCTTGTTATGTTTAGTTCTCTTTTGATACGAACTATGATCTACATATATAGACCAGAAAATATGAATGCAAAGTGGCTTCTTGCCACATCTAATTCAATGATATTTTTAATTACCATACCAAAAGCAATTAGGTAATTCCCCCCTATATTGAGTAATTTTAAAGCATTTTTACTGCTGGAAGACACTGGTGGAAATGATCAATTGAGTGTTGGATGGAACAAACTGAAAGGAAATTTCCAGATCACATGGTATGGGATGCCTTTAAGACTGTAACTGATGGAACAGACTGAATAGATATAGTTCTTGCAACCTGTATAGTAACTAAAAACTGTAACTGATGGAACATCACTTCGTACTATTGCAACAGTTACAGTCTTAGGTCATATGCATGGTTTCTGAAAGGAAATTGCCATGATTTTGCTAACCTTTTCCATGAATAGATATAGAGTATTGCAACCTAGAGCCTAGAGGCTAGATCTCTTGTAGTGTCTTACTACACAGCTTATCATTTATGGCATGTTATGAAGTGTTTGGGTTTTTTGAGATATTGTATTGTGTTTTAAAAGGCTGCTAACACTTAATTATTCTGAATTCACCAATTGACAAACAGAAACATGTTGTTTTTGTCACTTCATTATATTTTACTAAATCATTTACTTTGTTATTATTTGAGCTTTACAGGCATTTGTGATAATGAAATATTTCACTACAATATCGATCTTAAACAAAAGGATTGCATAAAAAGGCTAGCAAAATTACCCCCAAGCTCCAAGAATGGTGCAACATTCAGGCATGCTATTAGCCACAATTCTTTTATATTGATCTCAAAGCTGACTGACATTTATATCTTGATTGCTTTCTTCCAGTGGGACCGAAGTATCATTCTCAACATTTCATAGTGTCGATAATTTACTGGCAGACATTACTTGCTTCTTCCGGCAGGTTAGATGTTCCACATTAACACAATGACCAAAAACCTTTTGTTTTTTTTTATGTTCTCTAACAGTCGGTGTTTCTGGTTGTTTTATGACGTAATATTGTCTTTCTGTTTTGTTTGTATGATTGGTTCTGCAGACTCTCATTATGAAGGTTCCTGTAAGTATCAGCTCAAACTCATTTGTTCTGAATGCCTCTACTCTATATTATATTTTTATGTGGGTAGGTAATGATTTTATCATGATGTTAATGTAGAAGTTTAGTCAACTCCTGGCTGCAATTGCTGTTTTCAGCTTACTTGTCTATTACTGGTAGGCAGTCAGTTGAAATGGTAATACAGTAGTAGGTCGTTAATTGTATATTCTTAGGCTGTATAACCAAACTGGGACATCAGTACTGCTGTTTGAGCCTAAGAAACTGTGGCAGATACTTATTGCTTCTGAAACCCTATTTGGGATGACATCTTGAAGGTATTGTCTTTTGCAAAGTACAATCACGTTGCAAAGGGTTTCACCATGAGGCTAGGGCCTACTAATGCCTCGATACCTTTCCCAATACTCAACCCTATGGTTAACATTGGAAGCCGCATGCTGACTTGGCCTTTTACTTACATGAAGTTGCTATTTAGATCAAAATAGGAGCAAAGTTTACATAAGGATAAGCAGTTCAGGGAAGATTCGTTCATCAATTGCCATGGAGCCTTATCATTCATTTGGTTGACTTGGAATTTATATATTCTTTATGCAAGCAGAAGGCCAAGTCGTAGTACAGACTTTAATTTTAATTAGAGCTACCAAGTACCAAAGGGTCATTCGCCTAGAGGTACCAGGTTATCAGTAGAGCCAACCTATGAGAGGGTCAAGGGTTCAAAGCTCACCAAAGGTTAGGAGTGTGTGTGAGTATTTGCCATTTATAAATATTATATACTTCAAAAAGATGTTAGGTATAGCTTTTAATATCTTGAAGCTGAAGGTATTGATGTATTAGTAGGCTTTATTAGGAGTACGAATGCGTGCAAGAATGTATTTAGCTTCCATTACCCGAGTGTTATTATGAATGGAATTCCAAAACCTAAGCTTACTCAAGTCACAATGGCTCTTCAAAATATGGTTTGGTTATTGTGCTGGAATTGATATTGAATTCCAATGGATTGCCATGACTTAATAGCTGGATTCATTTACTTCTTGATGTCTTGTCATTTATACTGTTTCCTATATCTCCAAAGTTAAGTGCTGGTTGTAGCTGATCTTTCTTTGTCATCACTAACTGAGTGCTCACTAACTCTGTGGATCAGAAAGTTGGAATTGAACTCGTTGTTGAAAAGGGTGACTTTCCTGAGCACCAGTCTGTAAATGTTATAGTTGCAAATGAGTGCATTGATTTACCTTCAGAATCAAACGCTGTGTGTCTTGAGTCAGGCCTTGTGGATTATGTTCTCAAGCATGGGAATCAAAAAGATAGTACATGCCACTCTTGCTTTCCTATACGGTAAGTTTTCCATGAACAAGATCTAGTTAAGTTAGCTCTGTTATTTTTGAAGACCTGACCATTAAACTATCTGATGTGATGGGTTTATATACTCCCTACTTTTCAAAAGTAAGTCCCTACTTTCCAATTATACCCTTAATGAGATGGAGAAATTCTCACTCCCTCTATTATTAAAGGTATAATCGTCATTTAGTTAATCAAAAAGTTAAAGGTATAATCGTCATTTAGTTAATCAAAAAGTGTAGTAGTCACATATTTCTAAAACTGTATGCCTTTTTCATTGTGGACATTTATTTTGGGACGGAGGAGTATTATCTGCACATTGAAAATTGCATCCAGTTCAATTCATGATACTTGTAGGAGGTGCAATGGGTGGCTTCCCCATCTCTCACATTTTTTGCAAGCTGTATATATTTTCTTTGTAGATGTAGAAGTCAGTATGCATGCCTTTTTTAAAGCAACTTATAGTAAATTTTCAGCATGTAAAGATTGCTGTTATAACTACATATTGACCGTTACTAGAATAAAAAATCCAAGGACTGTTAGTAATCAGTAGGCTGTACGCATATGATGTGTGTATGGTTGAGGTCTCAGACTTGTTGCATTTTTTATTTTTTTAGGGAACACCTGAAAACCGGAACTGGGGTTGTCTGCAGCAAAAGTAATAGGAATATTGAAACAACGATGGAAGCTGTGGTTGTAATTAGTGAATTATCTGAGCTGATGAATCCATCCTGTTTCAGGGTGTGTGGTAGTAAAACAGAGGTCAGTGCCCCCCCCCCCCCCCAAAAAAGGTTTTTTTGCCGCATTTGCAGCACTCTTTCCGTCTGCAATGCCAACACACACAACATCTTATAGAATTCGACTCCCAAAAGGTTAACTAGGGTGGGATCTTTCATATTATTTAGTCTTATTTACGTCCCGTTTTGGTACGCTGACGGGATAGAAAGGACCGGATGCGCGAGAGTGTGGTGGACAGGTGAACGGATTGTGGATACCGGATAGTTTAGTAATTTACCAATCTTGTTAATTCTCTTAAATTTTTGTTCCACCTATTTTGGTGGGACGAAAAAAAGGGCATTGTTGTCTTTACTCAGTCCCATCCGGTCATAGTCTAACGCCAAGCGTGTGACTGCGTCCTGTACCAAAAGCACATTGTATCATCTCCAATGTTGACAAATCAGAATTTGGAACACAAGATTTTCCTTTGAATAAACCTTCTTGATTTATTCTTACTCTATTTGTTTTTTATCATCTCAAATATTTAAGGTTTTATACTTCAATGACTTCTCACCTGGTTCGATCTCTCAATCATTACTAAATGGATTGAAAATCATCGATTGGAGAAGCTATGGGCTAAGCCTAAAGTGCATCTCAGACGAAGATGGTTGTGCATTTGTTGAATGGGAGGACTTGCCACCAGGTTTTCATATTGATATTGCCATCCACTGCCACCACAAGAAATATTTATCACCTGGTATCTTTCCATATATATCTATATCTATATCTATATCTAGGCGAAGGATCGTGTGAGAAGGAGAGTTATTGTGAGAAGCATAAGGGATCTGGACTGATCACCTTTAATCTCAAATCCACCTATGAATCATGCTTGATACGGGGATTGATCTGGTGTATCTCATCCTAATGGGCATCCAAGGGTGTAGATTATTACACTTCTAACCTTAACTCTCCTTCTCCCCGGAACCCAACCCTCTATATCTATATATCTATCTATATATACGGTTGGATTCCGGTGAGGATGAAAGTTATGGTCAGAAGGGTAAGAAGGGATCTCCACCATTGGATCAATTCTAATTGAAGGTCAACACTAACGTGGTGCAACGAGATGCATCGAATCAATTGCCGTGGTAAGTGAAATTCATGGGACAGGGGTGAGATAAAAAGGGATCAAGGGTCCAAATCCCTTTTGATATTTTTCACCTTAACTCCTATTCTCACACGATCTTTCGTCTATATAGGCCAGGTTAAGGGAAAATCGCAAAAAAGAATGAAAAACTGAGGAAGACTCTAGTAACCGTTCATCTAGACATTATGCACATATGCATACTAGTAATTTGTAAACAATTTTTCTAGTATGCACATGCATGCACACGCCGTATGCATATGGTACAGATGAACAGTAATTAGGGTGTTCCTTTATCCAAAATCTCTCTCTCTCTCTCTCTCTCTCTATATATATATATATATATGTAGTTTGTTTGGAAAATTCATCATTTTCTTGATGATTGATATGCTTGTATAGTGTTTCTAAATGTAAATCTTTTACCTTTCTCCTATGTTATTATTTTGTGTTTTCTTATATACCAAGCTCATTCTGCCTCCAGCAAAGGAAAGGAATGTTGATCGAAATCTTGCTAAGAAAGCTGTGAAGCTTGCATTGAATGACCTAAAGGAAAAAAATGCTGGAGTTCTTCTCAGTGCACATGCAATTAAGGTACTGCTCGACCCTCATTCTAGTTTTTGAAATACATTTAAAAGAGTATTGGATTTATAGATGCACAAGGCATGGGCTTTTCAGGCCTCGGCCTTCTGAGCCCTTTTTCAGCGCGAAAAAAAAGGCATGAGGTTTTACCTGGGCTGAGTGTTGGATTGAAAAAGGCCTGATCGGGATTTTTCAGGGCCTTTTTCAGGCTGGATTTTTTTGGACAAGCACCCAAAATTTTGGTCTAATCAAACTTTGAGGCCTGACTTGGACCGGGCTTTGGGCTTTGAGCTTTTTTGTACTTCTTTAATTTAGATTATGCTATCTGCAATATCCTCCATACGTTTATCTTGAGATAATTTTGATATTGTATTCTTTAAAAATGAAAGTTGTGCCTCGGTGCCAAAGCCAAATTATGCTTTGGAGTATTCTTGACTGATGCTTATTAGGAGTGAGGCGATAGAATATCTCTCTCTCTCTCCACTCTTGTTTTCTGTTTATGAAAACTAGTGTGGGAACTGTGCGTTGCACGGTAATATGAGTACTTTGGTTAATGATCAGAATGTTGTCTATATAAATATATGTTAGTGTTTAATAGAATCATCGACAAATATATTTAAATAATTCGAAAAAAACTAATAAAATCTAATTAGTGAAATTTTGATATATATATATATATATAGAGAGAGAGAGAGAGAGAGAGAGATTTGTTTAAGAATAAATTTATAAAATTAAATAAAATGAGTAATAGTAACAACAGGGGTGTTGATAACTTATGCATTGTTTGTCTGATTGATGATGGAGTTTATTTCTTTTTGATGAGGTTTGAACCTCTGACCTCTTAAGAGGCCAAGGATTATGATAATGCAAGGACAAATGCCATTTGGGTTTCTTTCTAGAAGGTTTTATGGTTGGATTTACGTGTTTGCCCATTATTATCATCATGGGTCTTTAAGGGTGCACTTGATACATGGACCAGGACCGGACGGTCGAGAGTGAAATGGGCGAATGAAAGAATTTTTAGAAGGTACTAGAGTTTTAATCTGGCATCAGTGGTTTTAGCAATTTACCAATCTTGTTCCATCTTCCTTATTTTTGTTCCACCTATTTAGGTTGTCCCACTCAATCCTGTCTTGTGTCAGTCCAAGTCTTATATTGCGTCAAATGTGAGACAATAAGTTCTTATTCTTTTCTAATTTGACATGAATAGTTTAATCATTTACTAATCTTGTCATCTTCCCGATTCTTGTTCTACCTATTTTGGTGTGTCAATCAATCATGTCCTGACCCAGTCTAATGTTGTGCAAGATAACCAATTTTTGTTTGGTCTTGCATACCAAATGCACCCTATAAGACTTATATTTGATATTTGGCAAAAGGTTGATGCCATATACCTGTAAACTATGTGTCAAGTCAAATGTTCTAATTTGCACAGGACAAAAAAACAATATTTGCCTACTGCTGACGATGTGTCGGTTCATTAGATTCGCAGTTACGCCCCAGACCTAGCGAAAACTATTGCAGGCCTGATCTCGACTTCTAACGATGTGAAATTTAGAGGAGAATGTGCTTCCCTTCTTGGGTTACATTCTCATGATGCAGAATCTATTATGGATTGCATCAAACAGAGGCTTATTTCAGTTATAGACCTGAATGACAGAGAGCCTCAGACCAAGAGAATGAGAGAAGGTGCACCTCTTCTTTTTCATGATGATTGCTTCCAAGAAACAGAATTTGCAGATGAAGAATATGAAGATGGTGAGGTAAGTTTTTCTGCTTTGGATCTATAGAATAAATTTCCATTATGAGTTCCTTTGAGATATGAAACACACCTTCGTTTACTATGAGTTTCATGTGTATAACTATTTTGTCGCTTGGGTCTCGATCAAGCATTAGATGACCTCTAAGAGCTTCTCCACTAGATTTTACAAAATCTCGAAACATTTAAAAATCAAAATCTATAAACAAATTATATTCCACCCTAACATATTCTCGTTTTAGAGATTACAACATTAATTGTAGAGTAAACTACAATTTTCGTTCATGTGAGTTGTTAATAATTTTCCTCCATGTGGTTTATAAATTGTAATTTTCGTTTCTATGGTTTGTAATTTATTGCTATTTTCGTTGCTAACCAAATTCCTACCTTTGAAGGGGCAGTGAATATTTGTAAAACACGGGGCAGTAAAGAAATACACAAAAAATGAGATATTTTAAATAGTTAGTTTGGTACTAATATCGATATTTTTTTCAATTTTTTATGATATATCTTCGTATTTATATTTTATTCAAAAATAAAAACATTATGTTTTTTTTTCAAAAACACATAAAACTGTATTATAACAACGACTAAGACAAAAAAACGAAACATTAAAAAATCGAGATATATCTTGCTGCATTGTGTGAGTATTCTTCTAATATTATTAAAATATTTCAAAATGAAATATTATTTCTCTCTTATATCTTTAGTTTTAATGACTTGTGAGAACACCGGTAAGCGGTAATTTTTAGGAAGTTTTCCAAATTTAGAAGATATTACTATCTCTCTCTTCTATTTTCTCTATTTTATAGAAGGTTTTAGAGAATTTATTGAATCAAAAGAATACTCAAAGTCTGTTTTCTCCATTTGGAGAATCTTTTGGGTCCATTTGGTTTTGTAGGAATGAGATGGATTTGGGGATTTGGATTTCAAATTCATTCCAATCTCATATTTGCTTTGTTCGATTGTTCGGATTTGAAATCATAAGATTTAATTAAAATCCTACAAACATAAGATTTGAAATTCTTAGGGGGTGCTCGGGACTTCACGGGATTGCATAGGATTGTATGCAATAAGATTTAAAAAAATGTTAAAACATTTATTTTTAATAATTGATTAATAAAAATGTAATTTAATTATTTCTAACTTTTTTATAAATTATTTATAAATAATTATCAAATCCTAAAAACCAAACACACCCATTATTAAAAAAAATAACTTAATAATTTTTATGACCATTTATAATTTTTTTTTTATAAATAACAGAATTCAATTTCATTCTAAATTCTACAAACTAAATACACCAAAGTTTTCAAATCTTTCCAATCTCAAATTGTTCCACAAAATATAAATCAATCATCTTATCAAACCAAACATTCCTAATAAATATCTTTGGAGGCCTTATTAAGAACTGCAATTACGGTTGGGGATGGCACCTTCGCCAAGATATAAATCCCTTAGGTGGTGGTCACTACGAAAATTTGACAAACGCTCATTTTCTTTCACAAATTTTCCTTATTGTATATTCACTACTTGAAGCCTATTTTCCTTTCATCAAACCTTACATCATGTTTCTTTTGAGTCATTATTTCAACATACATTTCCAAAATATGCTTTGTGTGTTAATAAGCTTTGTAAGCAATAGAAATTCAAGATACATTAATTACTCAAATTAGGAGTTTCAAATATAGAGGGATTTTTCAGATTTAGCAATTGTAACCAATGCGGATGGAATCGTTTTCTTATAAAGATAAGAGTTCGATCTGAGAGTAATTGTGTGTGTTTCATATGTAATGTAATCATTATTTGTTTGTATCAGTTGCATCTCAATCTCATAATCTTTTAAATTTTCTTGAAACACTTTCATTAATAAAATAGTAAAATACATTAAAATGTAATAAAATTTAATTTATTGTTTATTTAGTGTAACAAATGGATTTCCTCAATCAATGCAAGTGCTTTAAAATTTTCTATTAATTATGATAATTTTTTTTTATCTTTATACTTGTTTGTTTCAGTTGCATCACAATCACATACTTTTTTCAAGTAGTATTGAAACATTTTCATTTTATAAAATAGCAAAGTGAACCAAAATACAAAGTTTGGTTTAACTTTTATGGTGTAACAAAATATATATTTTCAAGACAGTGTGACAGTTTTAAAAATTTCCCATTTAATATGATAAACTTTTAAAAAATTATCTTGAGGCACTTTTATTTGGTTTATTTTCTACTTAGTTACTTGATGATGGATCATGGTGGGTAAAGCTTAAGAAATTTTGAAAAAAATTGTTATATTAATTGTAAAAAATTTATTATAATTGTAAATAAAAACTAAAATAAAATTGATTATAGATAATAAGAGTGATACGAATTTGTTTTACCCTGGAATGGTTCGATGTGACCGACGGTTGACACACTTTGTCCCAAGGTTTACAAAATCAATATTAGAAAATTCAAAATTTATCCATAAATTTTCTGAATATAATAAACATCTTCAGATATTTAACCAAATACTTCTAGAGAAAAAGAAAGTAGTGCTACTGCCTTCTTAAAAAGCATATAAACAAACAACATTAATCTCACTTGAAACATTAGGTTATATGAATCAAAACCTACAAACAAGAAGACATATACCTTTAAAAATACTTGCAAACCCAACCAAATATTGTATCATACATGACCTATATCAAATGCAAAAAGCCTTCTTAACGAACAAAGTTCCATAACCACTCGAACCTCAGCCATAGAAGAACGAGAACAGGAAAGTGGCTTGACCAAATATAAAGCAAAACTTGCCTCCAGTACCCCCACCCTCAAAGTACAATCCAATCATCACCTTACGCCTGTTAAATGAAAAAAACAAAGACAATTGCATGATTATTACAAATAAAAGCATTCTCTACAGCATTAAAGAATTCCTATGAAAAAGAGTGATTGCCGTTTTTTACTGTAAGGTAATAAAAAAGTTCCACAAATTACGTTTTTCATCCCTGTGGTTTGTTAAAGATTGTGATTTTCATCCATATGGTTTAGAAATTGCAGTTTTCATCCCTATGGTTTAGAAATTTCAGCGTTCATCTCTATGGTTTGTAATTCAATGTTTTATAATTCTTTACTGTTTTTTCCTAAGTACCTAACAGTAGGAATTAGTCCAGGAAAGAATATAAAAATAAATTGTAAATCATAGAGACGGAAATCATAATTTACTCTATGACGTTCTTGCAAAAATGCCAATGATACCAAAGGTGAGAAGTGTACATGTGTGTGTATATAAATATACTTGTAGAAAAAAAGAAAAAAAAAGGTGGTTTTAATATGGAGTACTTGCCTTGTTTGCAATGTTGTTGGAGAGCCAGTCCAACCCCTCATAAAGTCCTTCCCCAGAGGTGGCACAGGTGCTCTGGATGTACCTGAAAAACAAACCCATGAGCTTGTCATGACGCTACACAGTATGGTTCCAGTCCTTTAATTTTCTGAGGCAAAATAAAACCAAATATAGAGTTATAAAAAATGTACTCAAATGCATGTGTAAAGTAGTTTTGAATGAAAACTTAAAGTTAATGCATGTGTAAAGTAGTTTTGAATAAAACTCAACGTTAAGTATCAAGAAAATGACATCGATTCAATTTTATTAGAATATGATTATGAAGTTAGAATTTACAGCTTGCAAAAGAAAACCTATGACACTAAAACTCCCTATATCTACTGTTAGTCAAACGGGAACTCTTTAAAAGATAGAAACGTGAACAAAGAAAACTTGTATACTACGAACTTCAGAAAGTTTCAAACTAAATTCAAGGTCGTATTCCCAATGTTCAAAATGGTGAGGCATGGTTTAGCGGCTAGGTCAATCCTCAAGGCTTACGTGCCACGGTGAAGACGCGGCGTTTTTCAAGGCATGACATAAGACTACCAAATTTGTATGCTATATAGAGAGAGTCGGGTTCATATGAGAATAGTATCCAAATAAGAGAATAAGAAAACGGTCAAATCACATGTGATTCACGCGACTTTGGCCACGACCTGAGATCGTCGGCCACATGGCCCACACATCATTGCTTTGACCGTTAGTGTAAAAAATCACCCATGATTTTGCGCGTGATTTGGCCGTTTTCTTTTATTTAGTTAGTGTCCTCATTTGAACCTCCTTATTTATATATACACACACACACATATATATATATATATAATTCAATGTATTAATGATATTAAACAATTTACATTCATATTAGAAGAAGAAAAAACATATAATATTATATAAATAATGTGATAAAAAGTTCAAAATAAAGCTTGGAAAAGTTTAACAACTTCTTTTTAACCGTGATAATGTGTGTGTGTGTGTGTGAATCCTTGAAACTGTGAGCAATTTGATTCGGTAAAATCTGTAAGAGTGTAAAATCTAAAGTTCAAAATGTAAAACCCAGAGTTAAAAAGTGTAAAAACACAAAAGCAAAAAAAATTAAAAAAAGTATTTTTTTGGACAAAATTCAGGCCTTCTAAAAGAGGCACGCCGTGTAGCGCCATGGCATGAGCCACACCCTACACAAACGCTAAAGACCTTACCGTGATGGGAAAGAAGCGTACTCTAGAATCCTACATATTCCACAAGCATAGTTTATTGAAAGAAACAGAAAAATTACCAGTGGCGCTGTCGGAGGGAGTGGAGGCCGAGCTTATCAGTGATTTCAGCAGCATTCATTGCATTAGGGAGATCTTGTTTGTTGGCAAATACAAGGAGAACAGCGTCTCTTAGCTCATCCTACAGTAAAGTAGCAATTACAATGAAACTTCTTACAATCAAATAAGTGTCCACATATCTATTTTAATTTGGTCCAAAATAAATGCGCACTTTCAAAAATAAATATCAACTTCCCATTCTACCCTTAATTATAAGATGGAGAAATTTCGTCTCTATTAGTAAGGGTAGAATTGTCCTTTGCTTAATTAAAAAGTGGAATAATTACACGTTCCTAAAATTGTATGCCATTTTGATTATGGACATTTATTTGGGGATGGAGGAAGAAATATTACCTAAAAACCTTATATAAGAAATGTCAAAATGGCAGATAAATAATAATTTTATGGAGCCTAATCATGTTGTTGGCAGTACATGGTAGTTTCAAGCACAATCAGTGAAACAAAAAACGGGATAAATAGGGTGGAAGCAGAGAATCCGTTGATTTTATCTTCATATAATAAAGGTGTAAATTATGTTTTTCGTCCCTGTATTTTGTTGAAAATTTCTATTTTGTCCCTGTACTTATGAAATTACAATTTTCATCCCTTATAGTTTACAGATTATTGTTCTTTCCATCCTTATGATTTACCATTTATTGTTGTTTTCGTCTTTGTGGTTTACAGTTTATTGCTGTTTTGCCCCTCATACTTAATGTTGCGTTCTTGAATTTGAGAAGAAAAAAAAAAGAATGGAAAAGGAAGGGAATAAAAGAACCTTTTTTAATTTGTGTTTTTGAGAGAGAAGGGAAAGGAAAGAAAGGGAAATAAAAAATGTTCATGGACGGGGGACAGAAAAGAAAAATGTTGTTTTTACAAATATTACCTTATTTATATTCCAACAGGTTGTAATTGATGGATCGATGTGTAATTCTATAAATATTTATAATAATTCTTATTTTGTTTCTTTTCTTTTCCTCGAGAACACAACATTTTTTCCCTTTCCCTCCCTTTCATTCGTAAAAGAACTCAAGAACACAACATAAAGGTAGGAGTTAAGTTTCAAAGACGAAAAATCGCAATTTTTAACAAACCACAAGGACGAAAAACATAATTACTCTTAGGGTGTTTGGGATTGCTTATTTGAAACTACTTATGTTTTTCTACAAAAACACTTATCAGCTTATTACAAGTAAGAAGGATTTAACTTATTCAAAAACTCCTTATTGCTGGTTTGGCACCGGTATAAGTTGTTTATCCAAACACTCAAAAGTGCTTATTACTGATGTCACACCGGAATAAGTCAATAAATTGTTTTTATAAGCAATCCCAAACACCCATTCTATAAATAAATGATAAACTCGTGGTAGGAGAAATATACATCATTTTGCAAATATCAGCCAGTCTCACCACTAGTAAATAATTTCCTCGAATTATAAATGCTATTCTTTCCATGAAAAATTATAAATTATAAATCTTGAAAATATAAAATTATGCACAAGGTACAAATAGTTATTGCAGAATTGCTTTGGGAAAAAGATTTTCCATTGTAAATGACAAAATTAAGTTGCAATTTAATTTAAATAAATGCACATTTTTTTAATTACGTAATTGCACAAAATTGCCTTCGAAACCAGAAAACAAAAAGAAGGAAAATTTACCTCATTCAACATCCTATGCAATTCATCTCTTGCCTCAACGACTCTGTCCCTGTCATTGCTATCAACCACAAAGATAAGACCCTGGGTGTTCTGGAAGTAGTGCCTCCATAGTGGACGAATCTGAACATAAATGCATAGACAAACACATGCTAATCAATGAATACTTCATCATCAATAGTGGCAATAAGTGTGTGTTGTGCAGAAAGCCATCCGATCGATCCAATTTAAACAGATCGATCATAATCGGGTATCCAATTGTAATTCAATCGGATCTATTTCAACATCCAAATAGGATGGGTCGGTTCTTGTATGGCAGTCCAGAATCCAATAAAACTGAACCAATCCAATCCAATTAGCATCCAACTATCATCCATGTAAAAATTATATATAACTATTAACATTTTACGATATTGTTTTTAGTTGATATTTATACGTGATGGTTTCTAATAAATCAACAAAATATATGAATATTTGGTTGAATGGTTGATTAATAGGTTGAAAATTGTGTCAAAATATTGGATGGATCCAATGGACAACCAATAGCAATATCCAATGGGTGGAACCGATCCAATCCAATCATCCATTGGATTTAATTGGTAAGGATGTACAATGTTAACTGAATTGTATCGGATGACAAAATCCAACATCCAGGATTGGATCAGATCTGACCCACCTAAATCCATTGGATAACCGATGAACACCATTCATACACATATGTGTATATGTTACATTTATCCTGTTTAAGTGACCTTGTTCTTGAGATGGAATGATTATATTTAGAGAGGGAACGAAGCAGCAATGTGTCAAACAATCAAGAAAATCCTCTACCTTGTCCTGACCTCCCACATCCCACACTGTGAAGCTTATGTTTTTGTACTCAACAGTCTCCACATTAAAACCTGCACAGAAAAACCAGAATTAGTTGTTAAAACAAACCTTGGTATATGCTATATGCTATGGCCAACCACAATCAACGCACCAATTACCAATGTTATTTGCAATGTACAAAGCTCGGTATACACTATATCCTGGTACTCAAGTGGAATCATGTAACCAGTACATACCGGGCTTCAGGCCGGGCCTTACCTGGTCATGATGCCAGAATCCAACCAGCTGTCCCAACCAGGCCCGGTCCTCTGTGTGTGTGTGTGTATATATATATATGTATGTGTGTGTACATAACTTCCCATAACCATCTAGCCAAAACCAGGCCTTAACCATGCCTTCTTGGTCCCAGTCCAGGTCCGGGCCGGTCTCAGGCTTCAATCATCAATGTGCATCTCTAAAAAGACCTACTACCTTTACTGGTAACATACAATACTACCAAAGTACCAATCATATGTTATTGGAAGATTCTAGATGTAATTCAGCAGACATAACATACAGTTCTATGCAACAGAGCAATGCATGCATGACTCATAACAATTTATAGCCTTTCACACAGTATGTCAGCCCACCTGCCTTGGGACATTCTACTAATGCCCATATGGAGATACAAATACAGGGAGTAAATCAAACATCTGAGTTATATGAGTTGCTAAAGAAACACTATATACAAATTAAGAATTTTTATACCAAAAAAGACGTACCAATGGTAGGAATGGTTGTCACGATCTCGCCGAGCTTGAGCTTGTACAAAATGGTTGTCTTACCAGCTGCATCGAGACCCACCATCAATATGCGCATCTCTTTCTTGGCAAAGAGCCGGCTGAAGAGTTTGGTGAATGTAAGCCCCATCCTTTTCTCTGATGAGGATCCCTATACAAAAAGTCAACTCTTAGTTGAAAAGTTTTATGATACAAGCATCTAAAAAGAGTTTCAAGTCCAATAACAGGTCTCTAACTGTACTTTAAACTAACGGATCCATGGATGGCAATGTAGGCAAAATCATCATGACGAGGCAATGTTAGGTAGGGTAAACAAGAAACCAAACAGAAAATACAGAAGAGATGAACCCCTCCCATGGTTCATTAGATAAAAAATAACCTTCGTAACACCAATAATTCCAGACCACTGAAAATCGTAAAGTCTGTTTATAGTTTTATATCACATCCCCTCATTATCAGCAACAGTAACGTAACATGATGCACTTTGGAAAACAAAATCAATTTCAAAAAATTACGGCATTGCCATACTTCGTTATAGAAAATTGTCTCGGGTTAGTCCATGTAGAATCAATGTTCTTACAACATGCTACTTTATCAGTAACACTCTAATGATCTTAATCAAAGAAAGAGCCAACTTGTCTAAAACCTAAATATTAAATATCATCACAAACATTTCTCTGAAATGAAAACAAAACTAGTAGATCTAAACATTTCTTATTTTGATGCAAAAATAACCAAATTACCAAGAGAATGAACCATCATTGAAAGCTGAAGAAGATCTAGATCTAATCTTCAACCGGAAATGAAGGAAGATACAAAAATATTGCCAAACTACAATTATTGTTAACCAAGAAAATTTGATTTTGGTAAAGGCGAAGATACTCCAGAGGAGAACTAGTTTTTAAATCATCATCCAAAGCTGAAAAAGAAGATCCAGATTTAGGTTTAATTGGAGCTCCAGAGCAGAACTAACAACATATGAAGCAATTAGACCTATCTATGGAGCCTATAATTTTTAGATCAGACATATAGCAGTAAATTTTTAAAGCAGTGCTTAACCAAATCAGCAACTCAACCCATAACTAGTTAAACTATGTAAAATGAATGCAAAACAACTGCTGTTCCAGAAGAAAAAAATCAAATGCATTTGATTGTCAACTGATGCTTTTGCTTTTAGTTCAATCAACTGAAAAAATAAGGTGAAACCTCAAGTAAGGAAACAGGATAAGCATATTTATTAGAGAAAATGCGTTTGAATTACGGTAATAAACGGCATTCAACAGTAAAACAATGTTCTAATCTAAACAAAAGAACAGATCATATTCTTAAAATCTAGACAACAAGCATAAAAAGACAAATCCTCCCAGATGCCATATAACACAACCGATCTAATGATTAGAAACGATCACCAATGCATAAAACCAAAAAACTAGCGAACCACAAGCAAAAGCTACGATCTAGATTCATGCTTCAAAACAGCTTCAACAAATTAATGATGTCCAGTTAAAATTGATATCAGAAATATCCATCTCTATCCTAAAACATTCAGATCGGATAGCAAAATTTTCAAGCTAGCAATCAGAAACAAATTTTAAATGCGTAAATGGAACCCTAATCCGCTAAACGAGATCACCAGTTTTGAAGACACAAATCGTTTAAAAACCCGTAGAATTTCAAGCAAAAACTACATGTTCATACAAAAAACTTCCTCAATTGAGCAAAAAAAACAAAAATCAGAAACAGAATACTATTCAACCGATTAGCACATAAGATAATCCACCTGCGGTAAAATAAACTTTGAATTCAATGTGTAAACGATAAGATCCGAGAGAGAAAATGAGAAATGAAGATTCAGATTCAGATTTAGATTTGGATTTCTAGTTTACCTGAGAGAGAAGCTTTTTGGAGAAGGATCGATCGATCTAAAAGTGTGGGAGGGAGAGGAGAGATAGAGGTTCCTAAAATAAGGGGGCGTGAAGCGTCAACGAGGGTGAGTGACCATCAACAATTTCTTCCTTTAAATACCCAAAAATACCTTTGCCTTTCTCGAATACCTAAAATACATCTCTATACATGTGCAATAAGTGACTCTATTGATATTTTAGTTTGTTTAAAACACAGATAATTTGTATGAAAAAATAACATATTTTAATTTGATTTTTATTTTGGATAACTTATTTTTAAGACTTTCATTTTGGTACTTAAGTTGTAAAATTTTAAATGTTTAAGTACTCAGGTAATCGGTTGAAGTATTAGTCAGTTACCATGCTGATGTGACGAGTGATGTGGTATTCAACTCAATATCATTTGTTATTCAACCCAATTTCATTTCATCACTCGCCACATCAGCATGGTAACCAGTTAATGCTTTAACTGGTATTCGGATACTAAAATGTTTAAAACTTTACATCTTAGGTACCAAAATAGACATCAAGTTAAAAGTACATTACTTTTTCATGCAATTTGCCTTAGAATAAATGTCCACTTTCAAAAGTAAATGTCTACATTTTCATTCGATCTTTAACTATGAGATTAAAAAAAGTTTATTTTTTATAATTAAGGGTAAAATTATACTTTTGTTAACCAAAAAAATACAATAATTATCATAAATGTTACGTGTCTTTTTTATTTTGATCATTTATTTTAGGACGGGTGAGCATTTAAAACTCCAGAGGGTAGGGATGGGAACTGGTTAACCAGTTTCCCCATTTCTAGTGCAACAAGCTGACGCGAACACTAGTTCCCTTGGCAAGAAGGCATAGGCGTTTGAAGGTCCTCCTTGGAGGCCACTAGTTCGAGTCCTACAAGGTTACATGATTTTTTGGACTGTTTTTCAAACCCATGAAAATGGGATTGGTCGATGTGCTCACAAGTTGGCCTGGACACCTATGGTTAACCAAAAAAACTAACTCAAACATGAGAAAAAAACCCAACCAATCATTGGTTGCCACTAGTCACATTTTCTTTACCTGACAACCGGTTATTGTTGGGACAAGTTACAGCATGACCAATTACAGCTCCAAAAGATAGGGATAGTAACTGGTTAACAAGTTTCCCCATCTCTAGTGCAACAAGTTAAAACGAACATAGTTCAACTCGTAATAACACTTGAGCCTTTGGGATCCACATTAGAGGTCACCAATTCAAGTCTTGTAATGTCACTAGAGATTTTCCAGACTGTTTTTCAGACCCCTTAGAATGGGACTAGCTGAGACATGCACAAGCTGGCCCGGGAACCTAAGATTAACAAAAATAAACTGACTTAAACACTCTTAAGACATGTTTGGTTGGTTTTCCATTAAGACATGTCTGGATAAAACTGTTTGTATACACTAATCTGTCTATATAAGTTGAAAAGTTTTTTGTTTGTGAGGGTTCTTTCATAGATGGTAGGTACGTGTTAATTGGGAGGGAAATGTTCGGGAAAAACTTGACTTTTGCATAAAGCTCTCCCCTAAAAGCTTACTAAATAAGGGCATGCTTGAGTGTTTGTTAGCAGCTTAATGAGACTCATACCTTATTTATTCAGTTGTATATGATTTTTTTGTAGCGAATTAGTGATATAGAAAGTGACTTATTAAGTAAACCTCTAAGTAAGAGTCTTATGCAGAAAACCAAGTTTTTTCCAAACCAATCCTTTCAAATTATGAAACACGCTCCTTCAATTTCCTTCCTAACAAAAAGCTTATCAATCTATACAGACATATTAATCCACACAACCAAATTTACACATACATGACTTAATGGAAAACGAACCAAACGGCCCCTAAGCCACTACCAAACGACCCGTAAGCCACTTTCTGTATCATTAACCACTACCAAACAATCATGTATAGCTGACCGAATAAACTGTGAGTCTCAAAATTGCTAACAAACAAGCTCTTAGTTATCAAAAAGGAAAACAAAAACCAATCCTTCAAACCCACCAAATCCTTGAAACAAAAGAGACCCATGAATGCAATTGAGATTGGTTAAAAGGGGGTCAAAGAGCTGCAGAACCACACAATCTCTAATGGAATTCAAATCATCTCCACAAAACATAACGATTTACAGGAGAACAATCTTGACAACATTCAGCTTACGACAAAAGAAGGATAAAAGTTTCAATAAACATGGAGTGAAAGATGAATGATATCAACAACTTAAAGCAATGGCCTCCAAAAGTGCAGCCATAAACTGCTTTTGTGTTTCTTCATTGATTCTTGAAAATGGAGGGACATGTACAAAAAGGGATCTATGACCTTTTTCTTCTGCGAAACGGAGAGAATGATAGTATACGTAGTTGCACACGAAACGGCCTGCGTCATCGGAGATCGTTGCATCGCAGCCCTTGATATTCTTTACGAACTCCAGGATTGTATTGATGGGGCAAACAGTCTTCGACAACAACAAACCAAAAGAGAGATAGCAGATAAGTTAGTATTTACTAACAACAATCAAAAGGGAATTTGAGATCCACCATGCTGTGAAACAGACCGGTTTATTTATAGCTGAATAACCTAACCAAACCAAGCGAACCCAATATATCCCACGTGAAGGTGGGTCCCACCAGGGGTTTGGTGAGATGTATGCAAACCTGACCTCTACCGTTGTACAGTAGAGCAACTGTTTCGACAAAAAATCTCATTTTTTTATTTAGATACTCCCTATAGATACAAAACGATTTACAGCCCAATAAATCGTATAAACTTATAAACCAGTTTCCATATGTTGTTTCACATATGAAACATGTGTGTAAATGCAGTGTTTGTACAATGTTGTTTCATTTTTTTATTAACCTGGATATCTAACCCGCTATGCGAGCCGACTAATCCCAGGGCAACCACCTGCTTTGCGAGTAGCCCGGACTCACCGCATTTGAACCTCTGTGGCCACAAGAGAATTTTTATTCCTCCTTGGATTTATTACCTGGGACCTCCAGACACTTTTGACCTTTGGAGCCCAAGCTCAAGCCAACCAGGCACCGCCCTTGTTGTTTCATATTTGAAACCTTCATGACTGTTTTGTATGTGGAAAAAAGCCGTCCTGGATGTTTCACATATGAAACAACACTGCATTTTCACACGTGTTGTTTGACACATGGAACCTGGTTTGCAAGTATGTATGAATTATTGGGTTTATAAAAGAAGGACTCACTCCCCTATATCCGGTACAAATTGCATACTTTCCATTTTTTGATGTCAATTAAAAATCATCACATTTTATTGGAACTTTATAAGATAAAGTTACACATTTACCTATTGTCACATATTGGGTGATCCTAATATGGATAACTAGAGTTCACTTGCTTTGCAATTGTTAAAGAATTCAAGAAATTTGATTAATGATCAACTCTGCTCATCACCAAATTGGTGGGCCCATCAACACCAAAATAGAATTAAACTTCGAACACATGGCATATATGCCGTTTGAACAGGAACACAACATATATGCCCATTGATAGTCTCCGTACCAAGATAATAAAACTTTATCAACTAAAAACAACAATGTCAAATTTAAGATTTGGATTTCAGAAAATCATAAGGACTTAGTTCCAGGAATGGAATGACTGATATGTGAACTAGAATTCAGCCGTAATTTGCACCGATTGTTTATTTTTAGAAAGCAAATTACTCCCTTTGTCTCAAAATAGGCGTCCACATTTCTATTTTAATTTTTCCTATAACAAGTGTCCAATGTCATAAGTGTGTGCCTACTTTCCAAATTATAGGGTTAATGAGATATTCATTTCTCTCTATTATTAAGGGTAAATTTGTCAATTACTTAATTAAAAAGTGTAATAATTACACTTTCCTAAAATTATGTGCCTTTTTCATTGTGGATATTTATTTTGGGATGGAGAGAGTATCTAATGGGACATGTATGATGAATTTGAAGACTAAATATAAGCTATATGCCAGAAACAGAGCAATAATTACCTCTCTTGTCCGAGTTAGTCCTCCATCCTCTGGGACAATCGGTAGCCGCTGCCAAAAAGAAGGATTTTAGCATAACAAATAACCAACATTTAGTATTAAGCAAAGCTTAATGATAACACAGGAGAACCTTCGGTTGCCAACCAAGCTCGTCTGGACAAGAGAAAGTGGCTTCATTTACTGCTTGTCGTTCAATGGCAAATTTTGATGCTCCACCATTTAACCCCATATGAAGCTGAAAAATATAAATATGTAACGCAACCAAAAGAAAACACAAGTAACAAATTTCACAGTAGCATAGGAAGTTTCAACACATTAAGAATCATTTGAAGGTCAAAGTCTATCATAATACCAAGAAATAAGAAAATACCTTTTTCTGTCCTTATATAAGTGAATCAAAATTACAAGTGCAGCCACTTCTGCAAGTGCAAAGAAGTAAAAAAGTTTGCCAAGCTACTAAATAAGTCTACACCATGAAAAACCTGCATGCCCCCTTATTCCCAAGAGTACACAGATTGGTTTCCTAGGTCGAATCAACTCATTTTCGCATTCAAATTTGATATAGAATTTTCAAATTTTTTAAGTAAAAAATGTCAGCTAGCAGTACATTCAGTGACACCGACTACAAAAAAAAGTATGCCGGAGTCAAATTTATATCAAAGATCATTTCATTTTGAAGAGGTGTTTGGTTAGAGGTATCAAGCAGTAATTAATGGGATTGAAAATAATGGGTCCATTCCCCCACAAGCCCAAATTTTCATCCCAGGTTAAATTGAGGGAATGAAAAATCGTTGCCATTTTCATTTCCTGTCATTTCCATTTTCATTCCCCTATCTGAACCAAACAACCCTTCAAGTATGGAAGTATTTGGCTTGACCTCACAAGTCAAAGTAGACATCTTTTTGGTGGAGTAAATAGATTGCAACATATGTGTAACTCTGCATTTGCTTAGTAAATTACTTCACAATTCCCACATTTTGTAACTTGAATATTCATGAACCTTCTCTTAAGGGTTGTTTGGTTGGTTTTCCATTAAGTCTTGTATGGATAAAGATATTTGTGTGGATTATTCTGTCTGCATAGATTGGGATAGTTTTTATGTGGGAGAGTTTTTTCATAGATGGAAGAAGCGTGTTCTTTAATTAGAAGGGGCAGGTTTGGAAAAAACTTGACTGTGTGCATAAAGCTCCCCTCTAAAAGCTTACTGAATAAGCCACTTTCTATATCATTACACTACCAAATAGTCATGTATAGCTCACCGAGTAAGTTATGAGTCTCATTAAGCTCATTAAGTTGCTAACAAACAGGCCCTTAGTGGCCAAGCTAATGCTTAGCAAAACAAGATTTCCTTCAATGAAATCCAATCGTAGAAAAGGTCCTTAACTTGAAAGCTATTTAATTTGCCTGATCATATCAAAAAAGTTTATTTAGAAGTTCAACGAAAATGGTAGTGGGATGGATATTAATCTTACCCACACAACTTCTTTCGAACTGGACTTGTTCTCGCTTGAAACACTCGCTTCCAGAACCTTATAAAGTGTGGCCAACGCGCCATCTCCTGCGGTCTCAAGAATTGTACAGCTACCTAAAGAAACGCCAGGTGGCAAACCTGTCTTTTCAATATAACTTCTTAAATCAGAAACTAATGTTTCAGTAGGGTTGGTAGCAAACACGTTGAACTTCTTGAAGCCAGTCACGTGAATAACCACACTCTTTGGTGCTTCTGATCCCATTTCCCACTCACAACCGCAGCTTCAATCGCCAAATCCTGACCAATTAGCCCAAATTACACTTTTTAGTCACAAGCCCTTTGCAAGTAGGAAGAGAATATATTGGGAAATTTATAGAAATATCCAATCTCCCAAGCTCTTTTCACTTTATAGCCATTTTCAGACCTCAATTCAGTTTTTAGCCAATCCTTAGGTGCAGAATTCACTTTCTAAGTAAGGATTCAGCTTTTTGTTTTTTTTTTTTTTTGGCTGAAAACCAATCCTTACGGATACCGCTTAAGGATTGGCTACGGAATGAAACGGGGTCTGAAAATGGCTAAAAGTTAAAACCCCTATGATAGATTGGCTATTTCTGTACACAAAACACGATCAAAAACACTAACCCTAAAAAGGAAAAAAAAAAGATTAATTTTAAAAAGTTCATTTAATACACCGAACTTAGACTTAATTTAATCAAAAAGCAATCATGCAAAAGCGAACAATGATTAAAGCAACGCGATCATCTCCAAGCCCATTACTGATGCACAATTTATTAAAATCCCATAGATGATCAGCAATCCGATTGGAATACCTAAAAAGTAAACCTAAAAGGAACTGCAGTTAATTTTTGCGAGGCGAATCGATCGACTCGTAATCTAATATAAACCAAAACAAAATATCACAATTTCTCAAAAACAAAATTGCGAACACACAAAGTCAATCCACAAACACGAAATCAGAATCTGTAAAACTTCGTAATTGAACATAAATACACAGACGTCGTGAAGAATCAACAATCACACCAAATCACTCATTTCAGTGCCGATTCTAAACCAAATTAAATCTTCTAAGTATATAATCAACAAAATCAAATCCAATTTTAGAAAGTGAAACAAAAACTAAACATATATAATACAAGATATAAAGAGAGTATTACCTCAAAATCACTGGCAATCCACAAACTCCCTCTCCGATGGCCGACTATAAAGAGAGATAGAGATAGAGAGAGAGAGAACACTTTGGTGGACTTTGAAGTCCTTTTATAGCTAAATATGGAAGACCTGCTTCAATGAACTCCTATGTCATGATTCATAATTTTTAATTAAGAGTAAATTACGTTTTTAGTCCCTGTAGTTTCATTAATTGTTGCGGTTTTTATTCTTGTGGTTTACAAATTACGGTTTTAGTCCTATAGTTTGTAAATTCATTGATATTTCGTTTTTATGATTTACAATTTATTGTTGTTTTGGTCATGTGGTTTACAATTATTTACTACTTTGGTCCCTTGTACTTAAAGGTGTGAATTAATTTTTAGGGACGAAAATAGCAATAAGCTACAAATCATTACCCATGCATTCATCCTGAACAATCCCTTTCGATTCTGCTGTGTGCAGATGTAAGTCGTGCTAACAAAGCTTATCAAGAGCTTCGTCCCGCATAGTGTATTATTATCGGCACTACTAGACAACATCTACCTACACAAGCTCGATCAAGAAGGGAAGAAAATCAAAATTTCTAACCCACAAGACAGAAAATCGAAATAACTAACAAACCATAGGGACGAAAATCATAATTTAAAGGTTGTTTGTTTACTTCTTAATAGTTTCATTAAAAGTCAATAGCTGAATGGTTAAGAGGTGAATCTTGTTTGACAAAAAAAAAAGGTATGTCACTTAATGATTCTAAAATTATCTGAATGATTTTGTATCATGTGTATCTCTTAACCATTAAACGCCTTAATTTCATTGTAAGCAATTACCAAACAATTATATTTCATTTTGCACTATATCATGAGAGTTTCTTAATCATTCTGACCACTTAATCATTTTGTACCAAACCATTCAGCAACTGTTAAATAGCCCCTTACTCTTTAATTAATGTTCACCCTCATTTATTTGCAAGTAATAAATTACCCCTTACAATTTTCGTTTTCATAGTATAAACCTCAACTTTTTTTCATCTTATAGTTATAAGTATTTTTCCGTCCCTGTGGTTTGTTAAAGATTGCGACTTTTGTCTTTTTACTTGTGAAATTACGGTTTTCGTTCTAAGAGTTTTGCAATTCATTGTTGTTTTTGTCCCTGAGACTAACTACGTCAATGGTTTACTGTCAAGTACAAGGGACTAAAACAGCAATGTGTTGCAAACCATATGAACGAAAACAACAATAAATTATAAATCATACGGATGAAAACTGTAAATTTAAATACACAAAAAGGAAAATAACACTTTTCAATGAACACCAGACAAAAAAGCGTAGTTTACTCTAAATATAGTCCAATTTCAACTACAAGAAATAACACTTGACACGTCATTTCTTTTCATATTTCAACAAAAGCATCTCTAATAATTTACGACGAGGCACAGATCATAAACAATACTCGAAACCCATAACGTTTTAGCTATTACAAATAAATTTCAATTCCTTAAATAAGTACAATCGAATTATTAGAAAAGTTGAGAGTATACAAATCTGTTTTCTATTCATTGTTTGTAAACCTAGGAAAAAAACATGCAATTTCAAAGCAAAACGATGTGAAGGTAACCTTCACAATATTTTTACTATGAAAGTTCGGCTTTTTTTACCTTCACACCTTTTGCCTGTGAAGTTTCAAGTGTAAAAAAATGGTCTCATGTGTCTCATGAAAACAGTTTATTCTATATGGTTTGTTCTAATTATTTGTGGTTGAGATTAGAACTCACACTTGTCACAAACTAACTAGTTCACCCTTGAATGACCTCTCTCTCTCTCTCTCTCTCTCTCTCTCTCTATATATATATATATATATATATAATTGAGAATAACGGCATATGCCTATAGAAAGTGATTAAATCTTGACAAGAAAGAACAAACAATGCCTTCACAAAATCTGGTATAAAAATCCAATTTACTGTTACTTGGGTTGACTTTATACTTACAATGATAATCTGAGATATTTATGATTACTGATCATTTCGGGTGGTCGAGGACCATGTGTCTTACAGTGGGCTCCTTATCAGACCTCATGGGACAACGTCCTTTATTGGACAAAAGTGTTGTTATCTGTGTTTTTTTAATCTAGTATCCAATCCACCTGCTATTGACGTCTAGTTCAGTAAACAAGACTCTTAAAATAACTGATAATATTAATATGATTATGAGTTATATTATCAGTTATAACCTTTAGACTGAAATTAAAATTTTATCTGATAAATCAATAAAATGGAAATCATTTGAGATTTTAGGTAGTTGGATTTGTCGTTTTATGTATTATTGTCCCTTTTGCCACCCCTAAGAATGCAAGAACATTAAGCAATAAGAAGGTTAGGATGACAACTCATGTTTCATTTACTTGATTCGTAAACCTAACATGCCTTTGTATATGTTAGCAAAAGCCACATAAGTTTTAAATTTTTTATATATTTAAATAAAAAAATATCATATATAATATAATCATATATTATTATTATTATTATTATTATTATTATTATTATTATTATTATTATTATTATTATTATTATTATTATTATTGTGAAACTTATTATTATTAATAGAAAGGTACGTGCATAATGCAACGAGATACATATCGATTTAATGTATCGATTTTTTTTGTCTCGGTTGATGTTATAATACGGTTTTATGTGGTTTTGAGAAATCAATAATGTTTTTATTTTTGAATAAAATATAAATATGAAGATCTCATAAAAAAATTGAAAATAAGATATTGATATTAGCATGAAACTAACTATTTAAAATTTCTCGTTTTCTTGTGTATTTCTTTAATTCATTTTTCATTGATTTAATAATATAATTTTTGTATAAAGATAATAATCAAATATTTTGTTAGAACTCAATAATTATCCTAATTATATTTTATATTTAAAATACAATGTTTATCTTCTATTTGATTATGTTTATCTATAGTTAGTTACACAAATTCAAACATGAACCTTTAATAAGTTGTATTTATGCACAGTTTACTTGTAATCTTGAATTTTAAGTAATATGCATCAATACTTCAATAGACAGTACTTCATACATAAAAAATGGTTTCTAAGAATTTTTATCAAATACTTTATAATATAGTATAGATTATTATTATTATTATTATTATTACAAAAACTTATCTAAATTACTTAATATAAATTATTGATAATAATTGGTGTGTATAAAAGTATTACTTACTAAAAATATTTTTATTTGAATATCTAACTAAAAAAATTATTTACTTTGTCTCTGACGTGTAACTTGGTTGATAAAAGGGTGGGTGACTTTGACTAAATACAAGACAATATCGGGTTCGATTTCAGGCCCCTCGCTAGCCTCAACCACTGAGTGAGCCAAAAAATGTTCCTCATATTGATGTCCTTGGAGGCGGGTTCTGTGTGAGACCGATCGGGATTGCCCATAATCAATTTTTTACCCAAATTCAATAGTTATTTTTATCTACAACAATCCGATACAACTATTTTAAGGCTTTATTTGTAAGCACGTAGTATTTAGGAATTTTAACCCAAATAATCCATGGCGTCTACATAAATTACCTTGTCTAAACGTGACACCTTTTTCATTCAAGGTTTCGAATAAATCAGAGGTTTCCACAAAAAAAACTCTTATATGAGGGTTTTTTTAATATTAATTTGGATATCCAACCCGCTATGCGAGCCGACTAATCCCAGGGCAACCACTTGTTTTGCAGATAGTCCGGAGTCACTGCATTTGAACCTCCGTGGCCACAAGGGGATTTTTATTTCTCCTTGGATTTGAACCTGGGACCTCTAGGTACTTTTGATCTTTGGAGCCAAGCTCAAACCAATCAGACACCACCCTTGTGGTTTTATATGAGTATCTTTGTAAGGTAGAGATCAAGAGTGTATACGTACAAGGGACTATGGTTTGTCAAGCATTGTAATTTTCATCCCTCTGATTTAGAAATTGCAGTTTTCATCCCGTTGGATTGTAATTTATTGTTATTTTCGTCTGTAAACAAATTCTTACCTTTTTAAGTTCAAATGACCAAAATAGAAAAGAACAATAAACCATAAGAACTGAAACAACAACAAATAATAAATCATACAAACGAAAATAACAATGATTTACAAACTATAGGAACGAAAACCGTAATATCTAAACCACAAGAACGAAAATTGCAATTTTTAACAAACTACAGGGACAAAAACGTAATTTACTTAATATTAAATTTGTTTGATTGGATAAACGTTGTTATGAACCATATCTTAAATTTAATTGGCAGATTAGTGTTTTTTTAATAGCTTTAATTGACTTTTTGTACAATTTTAACAAGACAATCAATAATAATGTTGCTTAATCATTATAATAAAATACCATATGAAGCATGTTCTCTAGTAGATAGAATCTCTTTGGAGACATGTTGTGATTTGTTTTGATTATTTTATTTTATTATTGGTCCCGTTTTATTCATTTTATTTTTAAGAGAATGATCGATAAAATAACAAAAAACGGATAATGTAACGTCTCAAAAATGGGACGACGAAAATTTGCAAAATAAGCCGAAAATGTGGTATTGAAATATCAAGATACGAGTGTTTTGAAAAAGGGAACTTAAATACATCTGATAAATTACAATTCGTAACAACAGATTGTGAGAATAACAACTTCCTGATCTGATTTCTTAAAGAAATAAGATTACATTCGGGTATCAGCTATACCACTAAAATACCACTTCAAAAGGATGGTGCCTCAAAAATGTCCGCAAGATCTATATCTATCATGAAATTTGTCATTAATAATATATGAATAACGACAAGCCAGTTTCCATGAGACAAACTTAGAACCCTTGACTGAGTTTTTTTTTTCTTCTACCTCACAGAAAAATCACAACCAAAACACTGCCCTTTCACAGTAAAAAGAAACATTGAACCTTTACATGAAAAACATATCACATATTTACATGGAAAAAAAAAAATACACAAACTGTTCACAAGAAGCACGCACGAAATCTTCACAAAACCCGAGAACATAATCCGAAACCCTCTTCTATATGTGTATGTGTTTGAGATAAAGAATATAAACATTAAGGCGGCGTTTGTTTTATAAGAGGTGCTGAAG